CAAAGGAATGCTAGAATATGCCGTCTCAGGAGCTTCCATTAAATCTGGTCGGTGAAGTACTAACCAAGTCATCAGATAAGTGTAGGGTAGCTCCAACTTCGGAATGGACAGGCTGGCGGGAAGGTTTTTTTTTTTCTGAGTGAACGCGGAGATTAGTTGCCGCAATCCACTATGAATATCGGCCACCATAGCGGGAAGCAAAGATAATTTGCGACCTGTAACTAGCTGGACGGCCGGATACAACACTTCCATTGGCATCGCATCTGCGGACTGATGAGGAACTACACATCTCTTTAACCATAAGGCTAGAAAACCCGCCAGCAGAGCAGTAGGGCTAATCGGAACACCAGCTTGCCACAGATAAGAGCGGAACTTAGTGCCGTGCAAAAATCCATCTTCTGAGCGCGAAGTATAAGATTGCGCGTTGGTTTTCTCTAACAAACGGTTAATTTCATCCGTACTCAAGGGAGACAATCCGCACACATCTGCCGAACGGACATCCAGGTTCTTGAAGAGATAATCAGCGAATTGTTTTAAACTGACTTGAGGAGACTTCTTTCTGGCTTTGGGCTCCATCTCGGCCATGGCTATATGATAATGGCAAGTCAATTCCCATAAAGTATCATGAGTCACAGTTGAGCTATCTTTCATCTTGTTCAGCTGATTGCTAGTTGGAAAGAACTCTTGATAGGGAACATCGCCCATAGGCGAACCAGACACCTGCATCATTTCATGCAGTGGTACTCCGAGTTCCCCGTTCTTGGTAAAGAATGTATTAGTGTCCGGGTTATAGATCTCGAACAAGCAGAGGAAATGACCTACACTACTCTGTAGGCCATGCATGGTGGCACGAATCGGGACATCTAACCCTAATTCTGCTAACTCTCGCCCAAAGCGGTTTAACACATATCGGGTCATCCTGGTCCACCACCATTTGTCCCCAGAATAATGGACCCATCCATAGCATCTAAAAGTCTCTTTGGGTAATCTTTTGCCCGCTGCCGCTAACCGGTTCTTCACGGTGTTGGCTTGCACTATCTTTTCATTCTGAGGTATATTATCTTGTCCCAAGATACCCGGATGAAGCCCCCGCACATGAGCTCTTTCACTGGAGCCTGGGTTGGCTTCCTTCCCAATAAAACCACAATGAATACGCTCGTGATTTTCAGTCAACTTCCAGAACATCTCACGTCCAACTGATAGATTCCTGAACATTAATAGTGAGTGATCCCGGGGGATAATGATAGGTTCCTGAACATTAACAGTGAATGATCCCGAGGGATAAAAGGCAGATATAAGAATGATGATCCACTCTGGTGCAACCATTGCGCAGGCTGGCAGAAAGCAATCTTCGGATCTTTTACCGAATCACCAAACAAGAAATCTGGCTTCCTTATGCATTGATTCGAGTCTTGCTCCGAGATCAAGGGCGCATCTGTGATTAATCGTCGTAGAACACGACAACTACCTCGCTGGATTAATTCACTATCACTTCCGTTATAATCAGATTTAAACTGGGGAGAGAATTCAATTAACGGGATCCCCTCGTAATAAGAGTGGGTCACGCTACTCCGGCCAGTAATCACATCAGCAGTAAATGTGGTAGAAGGAAATCGGACTGATAAAAGAGGCATACACATAAATTGTGTAAGTGTCATCCTAAAATTTTAGAGAAAAACGGTATATCTCATTCTATAAGATATAGTCGTTATCTCATAACAGGTGTGACGATTTTCTATCCACCATATGTATAAAGGAGGTATGCGGGCATTATAACGGCATACCAAAACCTTTCAATACATATGGGATGATGTAAAATCGCCCCTGTGTATTATGAAGTGTGTTTTGTCAAAGCAAAACAAACACTTTTAAGCGTCGATCCCCTCAAAGGAGGATACCGGCTCTTCTCGAAGGTACCTCAAAGGATACAAACGAGGATCTGCAAGCAAAAATAGGAACATACATATGGAATGGACGAAATACAATATTTAAATTCGTGAAAAGGTGAAAGAAATATACCTCCACGTGAGGGTGCAGCAGGGGCAGCCTCCTCAGGGCTCTGAACAGTCGGTCGGATTCCCTTCCCTCGAGCTCTACGTGGCGACATGATGAGTATGTGATCTACATTGAAATCCAAGAGGAAGGTTAAGATTTTGAACATGAAATCGACAAAAAATAGGACAAATACAACCGAAATGATGCATGCACAGTCACAGTTGAAGGAGAGTCAAAATTTTGGAGAAAAGGGGAAGAACAAACCTTTGAAATCTGAGTGAAATCTTCCCAAACAAGAGCACCTCCCAAGTCGGCAACAAAGAGGAGAAGAAATAGAAGAAAACTGGTCGAAAATCGCCCAAGAATCGCCCAAAAAATCGCCAAAATCCGACGTAAAAAACCCTAAAACCCTAAGTCCCGACTTATATAGCAGCCGGGCGAGACAGGAAACTCTGTCTCGCTGAGCGAGACAGACAACTCTGTCTCGCCGAGCGAGACAGAAAACACTGTCTCGCCCAGCGAGACAGAAAACTCTGTCTCGCCGAGCGAGACAGTAAACTTTTCTGTTTTGCACTATGGAACAGTGGAATACTCCAATGGGTACACGAGTCTAAACTGTATTCCCACCCTCAACAGGAAGTTTCTGGAGAATATTAATCTGAATATTCTTAAGGATAACCTGAGGAATTCTCAATGGATATACCAATTCAATGGTAAACGCTGAATTCACAAGAGCAAGTATCAACTTCAATTCAAGATCTCGACAACGGTCAAGCGATAAACGCGACGCCGGGAGAACGTTAGCTATTCTACGAAGAACTGGATAGACTAACAGCAGAAGAGGTTAAACATTGAAGCCATTTACAAGTCCTTTCATACGATCTATTCAGCCAAGCATTGAAGGGATCGTAAGTAAAATCTATCTTATCCAAAGTATCCCATGCTCCTCTATAAAAGAATGAGTCTGGAATACTTTGGAGGGGGTATCTGTAGGCGTCAAAAAATGCTAATAGATATCCCAAGCATAGAGAAGATCACTCAAAAATTCACAAGAAAGGATTTCATACTGTTTTGGAAAAATCAAAACAAGTATGAACTGTCTCGCCAGCGAGACAGTCTTTGCTGTCTCGCCAGCGAGACAGTGTTGAAATAGTCAAAACTACATTTGTAACTGCCCTACACGTGTCCATTAACTGCCAAGGGACGTGGGAAACATCATGGGCGAAAATCACGTGGATAACTGCCAAAATAACGGAGTTTGAAACGTGAGAGAACAGTTACAGCGAGAAACTGCCATTTTCCGAGACAGCATTTACTGTCTCGCTGAGCGAGACAGCAAATTTACTGTCTCGCGGGTCGAGACAGCAAACGTTGTCTCGCCCAGCGAGACAGTAAACACTGTCTCGCCGTACTGACTTCTTCGATTGTTAAGTTTTTGCAGTTACTGACCCTTGAGGCTATAAATACCCCCCTAGGGTCACTTCTGACGAGGATCGAGCATTTGTTAGAGCATTCCAGAGCAGAGAGAGCAGAGATTTGGGTTCTTTTCTTGCAACGCCTTGAAATTAAGCTTCGACTTGATTTTAAGAAGAACGACTATCTTACTTCGATAAGATATCGTTTCAATTTCTACTTCGATAACGAAGTTAGAATCATAAGCCCCCTCTTCACGATCTGTGAATCGGCGGTCCACGAACCAAAGCGTTCCCGGCACAGGCAAAGTCCCACGAAAACGAGAATTGATAGACGATTTTCGTGTTTGTTTCTCAAGAGTTGTAATTTTTGTTTTGTTGTGTAGAAAAAGTCTTATAAAAAGATTATTCTTTCGAATTTGTTGTAATCGAACAAAGTTATAATGAATTCCACAGCAGCGACTTTTGAACCAAACACATATTAGTCGCATGACCTATGGCATATTAGTCGCTAGAGTAGAAAACCTTTGAAACCATTGACACCAGTGAGGAGTAAGCTAGAGAAAACTCCTATGATTTGTCTGAAGAAGTATTAGTATATTACTGAAGGAATCTAATGGTGTAATTAAGAGTTTTCCCCCTAGAAACCACCTTTAAAATAGGGTAATTATACAGAAACCACCTTTCAATTTTAATTTATACGTAAACCATCTTTAAAATGGGTTTTGTTTCAATCAACTCCTCCTAGTCAAATTTTCATTAAAAATCCAAAAGTATCCTTAAAAACTCACATTCAAGGTACGTGAATTCCTTTCTTTAGTATTTAGATTTTGTTAAGGATAGAACTCACGTACATCGAACTTGAAATTTTTAACCTTACATTTGGTTTCTTAGTGAAATTTTTACTAGGAGATGGTTGATTGCAAAAAAAAAAAAAAAACTCTACTTGAAAGGTGGTTTATGTCTAAATTGAAATCGAAAGGTGGTTTCGGTATAATTACCTTATTTTTAATGTGGTTTCTAGGGGGGGGGGGGAAGACATCAGTATATATATGTCTGATTATTCATTTTACAAATGTGATATTCCTTAGGTACTTTAAAACAAATATAATGCACTAAAGTAGACTTTAATAACTTTGTTTGTGTTCCTGGTTTTCAAAGATAGTAGGTTTTTTAGTTCAAGGTTCATAATGGTGAATATTTTTTCATCATTATCCTCATCATTTTATTCATGAAAGTACTAACTGACGAATGAGGTTTGTTATAAACACAATTATTCAGTAGAGAAGGCTCCTCTGGGATTGGCCTACTTTGCTACCAGATTTCAACTTTGGCCTGGAGATGGTCGTTCAGTAATTAGCACATCAGATGATCTCAAACATCAAAGCTTTTGCCTACAGTTAGTCTGGAATCAAGAAATCACAAGATTTATTACAATATGCACCTATCTGAGTCATCCTGTAGAAGCCAACTTTAAGCTCTCATCAACTATTCTCGCATGACATGCACATGTTTATGCTTGTTCACAATTTATTTCGTTTTTTATAATTTTCTATGATGGAATTGGTGCCAATGGTGTTTTAATTGTGGCAGGATGTTACATCTTGGCTGGTCGCTGATGGTGTACCAGTAGACAAAATTTTGAAGAATTACTGATTTTGAATTGTATGTATTTATTTGTTGTAACATTTTTAAAAGGTCATTAACTTTATTCTTTTGTTGCCCAAGTGCCACAAGCTCTTCTGATTGAGATTCAGAGTAGAAATAAAATCTAATGAATAATCAAGTGTTGTTACTATGTTTAACACTCAGGCTCAGCTAAACCTGTATATTCGGATTTTTTTCCCCCATCATATTTGGGGATCAAGTTCTTGCTCGTAGGGCGTTTATAAGGTTTAAACTATGGATTATATCAAGTCTATGCTAAACAATGTCTAACATTAATGTATGTGTTCGAATGGTCTCTATTGTCATTTGTCATTTGCACAATGCACAGGAGAGAAATTAGTTCTAAGTCATAATTTCTAGCATTTGATGTGGTGATTTGTATTAAATGAGAAATGAAACTAATGCAGTTTAAACAACAATCATGTTACTAGTACTGTTATGTGCATGTTTTGGACAGTTGCAATTGGGAAAATTTCTCATCAAAGTGGAATGAAGGAGTGTTAGCCTTGATCAGTGGTTGATTTGATGATACAGTAGAATGGGTACATTGTGTGTGGTATGAGAACCGCAAGCAGAGTTTTTTTTCTCTCAACTTCGTTTCAAAACTAATCGGGGGAGAGGAGAGGAGGAAGATGTTCATGCAAGTATGATTCTTGTTACATGGAAATTATACTCCGAAGTTCGAAATAATCTATCTTTCTGGGAAATGAGACATTAAAGTTAATCAATTTAGCTTATGTTTTCATATCTAGATATTTAGTATCCATATTGGTATAATATACAAATATGACTGTCGATGTGACTTGCGACATTCACATCCGTTTGTTATTCACAAATACAGATATGTTTCGATAAGAAAAACTTACATACATATCCACTTAAAATTGGCTATGAATACAGATATACATGAGGAAACAAAACATACAAGAAAAAGCTAAATAATATTAAAAAAATAGTTCATAGTATGCGAGAGAGTTGATTAACATTTTCTTTATTTCTAAAAAGTTATGGTTTATCAAAATTAGTTTCAAATGTATTAATTATATAAGCTAAAACAATTAAAATTGTACGATTATCATATATTTAAATATTTTAGATATGAATTTAATAATTCACTCCACATCCGTACTCATAATTGTATTTTATCAATTATAGATTTTAGCTACTATATCCGTAGCTTTATGTATACACAAGCACGTACGGATTGGCCACCCAACGGCACCTTTTTAACCTTCCAACCACACCTCATCTTATGCTACAGTGCACCATAAACCACACATCATCTCATGCTACAGTGCACCGGCCCCAAATGAGTTTTAAAAATTAAATCTCATTTGGGGACCCGGTGCACTGTAGCAAGAGATGAGGTGTGATTAGAGGTGTGGTTCATGGTGTGCCCCTAGTGCCTCTCTAAGAACATATAGCAAACTAAATAATAATTGATTATAATTTTGGGTCCCACAAATCATCAGGTGACGGTTTTGGGTACCAAATAGAAGTTAATTATATATAAGGGCCTGTTTGTTTGCCCCAAAAAAAGGGAAAATCAAAGAAATAGAAAACTATTAAATCAAAGAATTATTTTGGGAGTGTTTGGTTTGCTAAAAAAAAGAAGAAATCAAAGAAATGGAGATGAGTTGTCACCTTATTATAGGATGATGTGAGTGATTTTTTAAAAAAACTTGTTTTGATGTTGTTTGGTTGGCGAAAAAAATAAGAAAATGAATTATAAAAAATCAATTTCTTAAAAAAGTTTGTTTGGTTATTTCTTAAAAATAAGAAAATAGATGAGCTGAGATGAGTTGTCATTGTATTATTGGGTGATGTGATCCAAGATTAAGAAAAGTGTTTTCACAACTTTTTGGGATGAAAACAAAGAAATGAAATGTTAATTTGATGAGATGAGTTGTCACAATCTTATTGGATGATGTGGGTGATTTTTAAATATGAGATGAGATGAGTTGAGTGATGTTGTTGATGAAAATAATATTTTATTAGATGTGGTGGATGTGATGGATGAGTTGTTGGATGAAAATAATATTTTATTAGATGTGGTGGATGAGTTGTTGGATAAAAATAATATTTTATTAGATGTTGTGGGTGAGTTTTAGGAATGAAAATATGTGAAATTGTACTTTTGGAGATTTCTTGCTTTTCATTTCCATTTTTCGGTTTTTTGGGAAATAACCAAACAGGCCCAGCTAAAAAGCTTTTCTCTTCCAACTACTGGGTCCCACTCCACGTCCTCCTCCCTCTCTGTCCGAACCCGAGCATGCAAATCAAACCCTAAAAATTCTCTCTCATCAAGCTCAACCACAAAAACCCCAAGTTCCCATTTCCCACCTTTTTTTTCCATCAAACCCCCCGAAAAAATTTCAAACTTCTCCCGCCATTTCTCAATCCCCTCTACATAATCCCCTCCTCCATTATCTCTCCTCTCGCTTAGGTGTCTAGGGTTTCGGCGTTGATGAGGGGATTTGGGCCTAGGGTTTCGATATGAGCGCTGTGAACATTACCAACGTCACTGTTCTCGACAATCCTGCTGCGTTTCTGAATCCGTTCCAGTTCGAGATCTCCTACGAGTGCTTGCTCCCCCTCAAGGACGGTAATTACTCGATCAAATCTCATTTTCCATTATTTTTTAGGTTTAAGGTAGTTTTTTGACGAGAAAATTAGGGCTTTTATATGAAAAATGAGTTTTTGGTCAGAAAACATTGGTCCTAAAGTAGGGAGTTTAATTCGTAGTAGAACTCTCTAATGATTAGGATTCAACCCTCATACTTGGCTTTTTTTTTGGGTTTTATTTGTAACGTAACGAAACTTAGTGCCTCAAAACTTGCTAAATTATTAGACTAATTAGCAACTTAAATGCCTTATAATAATTAGTAGTTAAATATCCTTTCTATAAGGAAATCATTCTTCAATCTCAAAGATGATAATAATTACTTGATGAAAATATCATTTTCCATGGATTTCAGGTTAAAGGCCGTTTTTTGATGTGAAAGTTCTGGATTTGATGTTGAATGATTTGTTTGTATAAAATATTGATCCGAATGATTAGGGTTAAATACGTATAATTGGTCAAGTTATTATTGTACATAAAATCTGTCTGATCGGTAATATCAATGGTCCTTGTGTTAATTTCTATAATATGTGTTGCATGTGGGCTTTATTCTTATGGCAAAAGTAGTGGAAATTATGTCTTGTTTCTTGATATTATGGATCAAATTAGGTTGATTCTGCTGATTATGGGTCAAAAGTGGTGGAAATAGGAGTTCATGAAGATGCTTGCACAATAAGGCAGCACATCTTAAGTGAGAACTTAAGGAGATTCTATCGACAATGATGGGGATA